GATTAAGATGAAAGAACTAAAACTACTCTAGTAAACTACAGTTAAAGTTAATCTAATTACATGTTGGGAACTCACTTAGGTATGATTCCCCCTAGCCACTATCCAAACTAACGATTGATGATTTCTAACTTTTTTCACTTTCATTCACAATGCGGAGAATCCTTGACTAGACCTTGAGTCTCGACTAAAGGAACAAGGCCCTCTTGAGTCAATTGCCTAGAGGGACGTATCCTTCTCTAGAACAACCGATCAAGGCGTTCTGAACTAGATTCCCTCTATCGAATGAGTTTCTCGATCGATACAAAGCAGTGAATCAACCCTCGACTAAAGCAATCGATCTACTACTATCAATCTATGGTGCTCTATTGACCTAATCAGGTATTCGCTCTCATAGGATCAAAGCGGAATCAATAATCTCGACTAAAGCAGAATTGAATCATGAAAACATGCATAGATTGAATATGAACTCAAGTAGGGATGGCAATGGGGCGAGTTTGGGGCGGGTTTGCCTAAACCATCCCCATCCCCATCTTCAAATACCCAAACCCATACCCACCCCATACCCATGCGGGAAATGTTTTGCAAACCCATCCCCATACCCGTGGGTTTCGGGTAGCTATGGGTAATACCCGTCCCCGTACATCCAATATCATTATACCTAAAACTTACAAGAAAAGTTTTAATGATAACCCTAAACAAACCTATTATATCACGAAGTCAACAAAACACAGTCATTTTCTAAATACGATTCAAAGAATATGATCCTAAAACATCCATTAATACATAATATAGACTACAATATTTTTAAAATTATTATGCTCTAACTCTTGATACATTTACTAAGTAATAATTAACTAACATAATCTTGTTGACAAGGGGGAAAATGAAAGAGTGAAGGAGAATTGAGGGAAATGAATTAGGTTTTGATTAAGGTGGTTACTCATTTGCTTTTCTACTATTTATTTTCTCGAGTTATCATCATCGTCATTGATATATTATTTAATCCACATAGTTTTTGATATGTGAAGAAATTCTCTTGATGGGGCGGGTATGGGTATGGGGCGGGGGAGGCTAAAACCATACCCGCCCCATACCCATCAAAATTTTTGCGGGTTTTACCCATATACCCGCCCCACACCCGGTCAAAGCGGGGATTCCCCGCGTTGACTGGGTCGGGGGCGGTTGGGTACCCGCGGCCATGGGTTTGATTGCCATCCCTAAACTCAAGGTTATCAAGTCAGAGTACTCATACAACCATCCAATCAAACAAACATAGCTAGGGTTCCTCAAAACCTAAGTGAAGGAAAGTTACTCCATAGAGAAGAGAGAGACTGCAGTAAGAATCTTCAGATGATCAGTCTTCAAGTTCGGGCTTGTTCCTCGAGCTTCCAAGGTGAAGAAATCCTCCAATTCCACTCTTAGAATGCCCTCAAATCGCCCTCTATCTCTTTGGTTCGTCCTTTGGGTGTTTGGGATCCAAAACCCAGCTCCCCCTTTCCTTTGGCTTCAATCTGCCTAAAAAACCTGATTCTGGGCAAAACACGGCCGAGGACACGGCCGTGTTTTACTTTTGCCTGCCCGTGTTTTGCCCCCAGCAGCCCTCGTCGGCCAAAACATGGTCGTGCCTAAATATGGACACGGCCGTGTTTTTCTTTAGGCGCGCCCGTGTTTTTACTGCCGAACATGTTCCCCTATATTCAATGCTTCGTTTCTCCCTCGTCCGGACTCCGAATCAGTCGCCGTTTGATCCCTGACGCTCGTAGTCTCTTCCTCTTTCTTTTGATGACAAGATTGCATGATTCTTTGTCCATAAAGTTAGGTATAAATCCATTCTTCTTCAGGTCATGCCCGAGTTTCTTCTCCCTAATCGTCAATTGATCTCTGATTGACTTGAAACTTGCGCCTATGCTTCACTTTATGTGCTAGGACCTGAAATATGACCAAGGATCACAACCTAGCATAAAATAGGCCAAAGACGCGATAATTATAGCTCAAACGATCAAGAAACAAAGGGGAAATCATGTGCAAATATCGAGTCATTAGTTAGAAACGATTAGCCCATTCCAGGTGGATCTGAGGAAGAGGCAATTGTCATTTGATTGGAAGAGATGGAGCTTGACGCTGCAAGGACTTACTAAGGAGGCTCAATGTAAGATGATTTTGGGACGTTCCTTACAGCAACTACTCAGGAAATTTGAGCCTCAAGTCATGGGAGTAGTATTTGCCATTGATGCTAAGCCTACTCCAGCCCCTACTCCTGTTTTATTGGAGCCTATTCTTTCCAAATTTTCAGATGTCTTTGCTGCCCCTACATCCCTGCCTCCTTCGCGAGCTTTTGACCATTCCATTCCTTTATTGCCTAACACCAAACCTATTAACATCAGGCCTTACCGTTTTCCCCACCATCAGAAGGAAGTTGCTGAAAAATTGATTTGGGAAATGTTACAGTCCGAGTTCATCCAAGAAAGACATAGTCCATATGCGTCACCTATCTTACTTATTGGGAAAAAGATGGAACTTGGCGGTTCTGTGTGGACTATAGGGAACTCAATGCTGCAACCATTAAGGAAAAGTTCCCCATTCCCCATATCGAGGACTTACTGGATGAGCTTCATGGTGCGATTATCTTCTCCAAATTAGACTTGCGTGCTCGTTATCATCAGATCAGGATGAGGCCAGAGGATCAATATAAGACTGTATTTCGTACACGTCAGGGCCACTATGAGTTTTGTGTTATGCCGTTCGGTTTAACAAACACCCCTGCTTCGTTTCAGGCGCTAATAAATCATGTGTTTGCTCAGCTCTTGCGCAAGTTTATCTTAGTATTTTTTTTATGACATCTTGGTATATCGTAGGTCTGCGGAGGAGCATGAGCAGCACCTAACTATCACTTTGCAGCTTCTACGCTAGCAACAATTGTATGCTAAGGAGTTGAACTGTTCTTTTGGTCAATCGCAGGTCGAGTATCTGGGCCATATAATCAACTGGGAGGGTGTTTCTACTGACCTGGGTAAGATTGAAGCAATGAAGGACTAGCCACGACTTCAATCTATTAAAGGGTTACGAGAATTTCTTGGTTTGACAGGTTATTACCGTAAATTTGTTAAGCATTATGGGACTATTAGTCGTCCACTGACTGATTTGCTCCGCAAGAATGGATTCGTTTGGAATGCAGCTGCAGAAGAGGCGTTTGTTGCCCTGAAACTGCTATGACGACAGCTCCTGTGCTTGCTCTGCCAGATTTTTCTCGGCCTTTCGTACTGGAGACAGATGCTTGTGGCGTTGGGGTTGGTGTTGTACTTTCTCAAGGGGGCAAACCATTGGCTTATTTTAGTAAAGCCTTGTGTGTGAAGAATCAAGGCCTTAGTACATATGAGAAGGAACATTTGGCGGTGTTATTGGCAGTAGATCATTGGCGTCACTACTTGGAGGGCAGGCCATTCATGATACTTACAGACCACGAAAGTTTGAAGTTTTTAATGAGGCAAAAGGTGCACATAGCTTTCCAGAAGAAGGGCTTGGTCAAATTGATATGACTGGACTTTCAAATCAAATACAGGAAAGGCAAATATAATGGGGCAGCTGATGCTCTTTCTCGCTTGTTTGATGACGAATTGGAAGAGGGTAAGTGTGGTGCCCTGACTTCTGTGCTTCCTGAATGGTTGGTGGAAATAGAGCAAACTTATGTTGGTGATAATAAAGTGACAAGCTTGATCGCAACTGCTGCTGTTCAGTCTCAAGGGCCCTCTCTTTGGTCTTTCTCTGCTGGTATATTGCGTTAGAGGGCATTAGGGCGTCCAGGTCACTTATCAACGTATTAAGTCCTACTTTTACTGGTCGGGTCTGAAAGCGACAGTTCGCCAATGGGTGCTGGAGTGCGACATGTGTCTGCGTTGTAAGGCGGAAACAGTAGCTTCTCCTGGGCTGCTCCAACCTCTTCCTGTACCGACTAGGTCTTAGAAAGACGTGAGCATGGACTTCGTCGAGCGTTTAACACTTTCACAAGGTAAACAAGTTCTTCTGGTGGTGGTTGATCGGTTTACAAAGTCAGCGCACTTCTTTGGATTGAAGCACCCATATACAACATCAGAGGTCACCCAAATCTTCTTCGACAGTGTTTTCAAGCACCATGGGATGCCATCTACCATAGTTTGTGATCGAGATGCCACTTTCGCAAGAAAATTCTGGACTGAGTTCTTTCGTCTTCAGCGCACTAATATCCATTACTCCACTGCTTATAACCCTCAAACGGACGATCAGACAAAACGAGACAATCACTGTCTCGAGGATTATTTGTGTTGTATGTCCTTTCACATGCCTTATGATTTACCCAGCAACAGCAGCTTGTTCAGTTGCTGACGCACAACATTACTCAGGCACAAAATCGTCAGAAGCAGTATGCTGACATGAGGAGATCTGAGAGATACTGCAGGTGGGCGATTGGGTGTATCTTCGTCTACAACCCTATCGTCAAGGTTCGGTAGTGGGCAGGCATGGCAACAAGCTAGGACCGCGTTACTTTGGTCCTTATCGAATCCTTTCTCTGGTGGGGAATGTTGCTTATAGGTTGGCATTACCAAAGGAATCGAAAGTGCACCCAGCTTTTCATGTGTCTCAGCTGAAATTGAGCAGATCCATAGTTCCTCCAGCTACCTTCCATCTTCGAGACACTGATGCCAGGGTAAGTCTAAAGTTGGCCCCAGCTCAGATACTTGCTAGGAGATTCGTTAATCAGAAAAACCAGGCCGTCACTCAAGTTCTGGTCCAATGGACGCATCAGACACCGGAAGATGCGACCTGGGAGGACTTGCAGACCTTCAGGCTACAGTTTCCAACATTTCCGTCTTGATAATGCTCAGCTTGAGGACAAGCTGATTCCGAAGAGAGCGGGTTTGTAACAACCTGCACAGCTGGCGTAACGACTTGCACAACTGGAAGTGACGTCTAAAGTGTGGAGAAGTATAAATAGGGAGAACATTATGTAATTGGCTATCTTTGATTCTTCGACTAAGACTTTACTCACTGGTAGAATTGCTCAATTATTTTTTCTTCAACTTACACATCTCGACTTGCCTCAAGCTAGCTACTTGCCCACCCTGTGCCAATGCCATTTGAGATGGATATATCAAGACAGGAGAAGCTCTAACTGGAAGGCTAAAGCAAACTAACTTTTCCTTTCAATGAAAACGAAAATACACCTCTGTAACAACCTGCACAGCTGGCGTAGCGACTTGTACTGCTGGAAGTGACGTGTAAAGTGTGGAGAAGTATAAGTAGGGAGAGCATTATGTAATTGGCTATCTTTGACAACTCATTCTTCTGTACAACTTTACTCTTTAGTTAGAAACAAAATAGCTACAGCTCTCTTCTCTCCCAAAATCTCCGTCTTCCTCCTTTACTCTCTTCTCTTCGCCAGATTAATCACATCCAGGTCCTTACAACCTCAGATTAAAAAGAAAATTACACCTCAACAAGTTTTATTGGAGATCAACAATGAGTAGCAACAATAGAAAAGGGTACAAACTACAACTGATGAGAATCTTCCAATGATTCTTTCTTAGAGAAGCTCCACAACAAGAGCAGATGCCCCACCACCTCCATTGCACACGCCACCAACGCCATACTTCCCGTTCTTCTGCCTCAGCACCTACATACATTGCCATTGCAGACACATAATGAGCAAGAACTCCGTACTAATACACAGAAATTGAGAAGGTTCTATAGACGTACTCCCAAAAGGGTGACTAAGATCCGAGCTCCGCTGCATCCGAGTGGATGCCCTAGGGAGACTGCACCGCCATGTACATTGATATTTTCCTGTAAAAAGTGGTTTAAGGAAATGGACAAGTACATCATCAATTGATAACCGTGTGATGGACATCTTAATCATCATATATATATACATAGAGAGAGAGAGAGAGTGGTACTTACTGGGTTGAGACTAAGCAGCTTCTGGTTAGCAAGGGCTACAACCTGCAGAAGGAGATTAAAACTTGTTTAAGTTCTCGTTAATTGACTAATTTATCTCAAGTGGGAAATGAAAAGTGAGATCTTACTGCAAATGCTTCGTTTATCTCGTAGTAATCGACTTGGGAAGCATCCAATCCAGCACTCGAGATTGCTTTGGGTATGGCCAGAGCTGGAGCTGTGGTGAAAAGTTCTGGTGCCTGCATAAAGCCAACTCCAAATAAGATGATCCAGAAGAACTTGGAACAAAATAAGATCAAGGAATATGATGAGCATATAGCATCTTTTCTTGGCGACATTTTGAGAATTATTACCTGTGCAGCGTCGGCATAACCAGATATCTTTGCAATCACTTGTAATCCAAGGCTTAGTGCCTTCTCTCCACTCACTAGAACTAGAGCAGCAGCACCATCACTGTTAATTGAGAAGAAAACATATTAAGATTATATGTACAAGACTTTCAACGATTACTGCAAAAGCCCATTCAGACTTACTCGACGCATTGGGATTGAACCCCTTAGGCCTAACAAAATGCTACATATTAGACAAGTAAACAAAGGTACACAAAATCTACTTGCATATCAGAAGAATTGTTCAACAAACAAGGTTCATTTTTAGCCCAATTATCTGATGATCAGGGATAACAAATTGAAGGAGATTGAATAGTACACCTGATGCTAGAAGCATTCCCAGCTGTAACGGTTCCTCCATTCGGTTTGAAACTCGGTCTGAGCTTCCTTAATTTTCCAGCATCAAACTGTCAAAATATGGAAATAATACGAATCTTTAAGCATTGCAGTAAAAGATTGGATGACACAACCATTTCACGCTCTTTACCATCATACAATTGGAACTCATGGATAACAAGACCAAAACCTTATCATGGATATCTACCTTCCCTAAACCTTCATCTTTATCAACAATGGTTGATGGCTTTCCCCTTCCACCAGACACTTCAACCTGCAAGTAATCAAGCCTAATTAACATAAAGCATCCAAAATATATGGAAGAACAACTATAATTATGACTAGATGTCTAACTGGAACAATTTCCCACGCAAATGCATCAATGTCCTGTGCCGCAATACCACGCTCAAAACTTTGCACAGCATAGTCATCCTGCAGTCATCATAAAAAAAAAATTTCAATTTGGGGATACCAAACAGAAAAACTCAAAACCTAATCTAAGAACAAGTAACAATTCAATACCTGCTGCTCCCTTGTGATGGAATGCTGTTCTGCACAAATTTCAGCACAGTTCCCCATGCCAACATCGTTATAAACATCCCATAATCCATCCTTAAGCATCCCATCTACTAGTGAATCATGCCCGAGTCGAGATCCCTTCCTGTATACAACAGTCAAACTCATTGATCAGAACATATCTCTAATGCTTATTCCCAGAATCCTGAAAACATTTTTAAGACAGTACCTTGCTTCTGCCAAATATTTAGGTACATTCGACATGCTCTCCATGCCTCCTGCTACAACAACATCGTGGATCCCTAACTGAATACTTTGTGCCGCGAGCATCGTTGCTGCAAACATCATCACCCAAACATCATGTCATTCCTCGTACACTTTTTTTGCATGAAGATTGAAATATAGTTGACAGTAATCAGCGTAAGCCCGTACACACCTTTCATCCCAGAAGCACAAACTTTGTTGACCGTAGTGCATATGACTGTATTGGAGATTCCTGCACCCAATGCCGCCTGCCTGGCTGGAGCCTGTCCCAAATTCGCGCTGAGTACATTGCCGAAGAAGACTTCCTGGACTAGGGAGGGATCGACATTGGCTCTCTTAAGAGCAGCTGTAAACAGGAGATAACAACTACTGAGGAGGAAGAACCTAAAAGAGAGACCATCATCACACAAGAACAAATTGAGTTGTGGATCTATTTACCTTCAATGGTGATAGATCCGAGCTTGGTTGCAGGGACAGACGACAATGAACCAAGAAATCCACCCATTGGAGTTCTTGCAACTCCAACAATGCAAACATCTGCACAAATTTCAGCAACCATCAGTGGGACAAACCCAGAAGCTAATCACATGGGGTTTTTAGTTATCAAGTTAAAGGAGCTACCTTTGGGCTTGATATCTGAAGCTGGAGCCATGGATCTGCTTCAGAAGGAGAACTCTGCAGTCCCACAAAAAGAGGAATTAAAGTAATGCAGAAAGGTTGTCAAGTAAACTAAGACACATGATCTGATTAAAAGGAAGCAATCATTCTCAGCTTTGGCTGTCGTCGCCCTTAAGAGAGAAGTAAAAGCAGCCGCCACTTAACAATTAAGCAAGTAGAACCTAAAACAAAATTGAATTGACTTGCAAGAAGGGTTCGAGTTGCACCCGAAACTTGGACTACAAGTCTAATTCAGCAGTAACCCATTAAAGCAAGAGAAGGAGGGAAGAAAACAAAAAGGTTTCATTCAGATTGGAACTGATCAAAGCCCGGAGCCGAATTCTAACGAGCAGCTGGTAGATCTAATCGCCGGGGAGGGATTAGAAGTTGCGGGGAATCGGAGGAAAGAATGGAGATGTATAATAGCGATGTTATTATCATTACCTGGAGGTGGGCAGGTAGTGATCGGCGGCAAGGAACTGGAAAGAACTGATAGTTTGCACTGAAACTGAGAGACTGAGACAAAGGGATGGAATGGGCGAGTGGGGTTTTTCTTTTGAATCTCCTGGCTTTGTTTTTAACGAGCTGGTGTTAGGAACTATATATATAGAGCCGACCGGTGAAGTGATGGGAGTTTGAACAATAAACAACAACTACCAAGATTCCTAGACGGGCGGTAGGTGATTGTTTATTGCTTTGTTCTGGGTCGCAAATGATGACTCCATATATATTTTTTTTTATGATATAGTAAGTAATTGATATTATAGTTACAGAACACTAGATAACCAGACGCGACAGTCAACTACTAGTGAGCTGTCAATGAAAGGGTATTAGTAGCCATAAGGTACAAACGAGGAGTAAAAGTGCAATCAAACAAAAAGACTCCGACGCCAAGCAATTCTCCTCTAGCACCGCACCACCGGCTCCATGCGTCGCCCGGCGAATCAGAGGTTGATAATCACCACAGAAATTAACATAATAAAAATCATGCGTCAAACACCAGTGCACCGCATCTCGAAGAGCTAATAGTTCAGATATAAATGGGTAAAACTTCCCAAAGGCAAAGATAAACTCACCTTGATTTGAGAAACCAGCAAACTAGGTTCCTCCACCCACATCTTTCTTCCAAGCACCATCAAATCTGACGAGAACCTGGTGGGCAAACAACATCCTGAGGCCTGAGGTGCGACCCTTGCCTAGCTCTTGGACGTGAACTAAGCTGCCCATCTCCATTTCTATGAAGCGTTAGAAGGGAAGAAATAAGTTGCCACTCATCGACTTGAGCCCGGAATTGCTGATGAAGCGCTCGTCCATTGTACTGGATATGCATGTGGATTTCCTAGCATCGTGATTTCTACACTCGCCAGCAAAGGAAAACAACATTAGCAATCTCACTCTTGGTAAGATGACAAGAGAAAACATGAAATTCTAACAATCCAAATGGGAAAGACCCATCAGCCGTTAACGAAGGGAGCCCAAACCAGCTAAATCTCAAAGTTCTAATGCTACCAGACAATGTAGGAAGGAGTGCATAATGGATTCAGCTCCCATGGTGTAGACAAGACAAGTGTCGTCCGTAACAAGCCTCTTGTCCTTCAAAACCGCACCAACATGGAGAAAGCCCCAAACTAATATCCACCAAAAAAACTTGAGCTTGGGCGGGTGTGCGATGCTCCATAGTAGCTTCCAAAATCTGCAGTCATAAGGCAACGGAGTGGGATTCATAACAAGAAGTTCATTAGATAGCACATGGTATCAGTCTTAACAGTGTACTCCCCATTAGGAGAGTGGTGTCAAATGAGTTTATCTTGACAAGGAATCAAGGCCAAGGGAATAGAAAGAATTAAGGACACCGAAGCAGGGACAAACAAGTTCACAAGCAGCAGGATATTCCATGACCGGGTAAAGGGACAAATAAGGTCAGAAAGAAAGATTGGACAGTGATCTACATCCTGGCGTAGCAAAGGTGAAGAGGGAGGTATGGTAGGAAGCCACTTATCTGCAAGTACTTGAACCGGCATCCCGTCCCCGATCCGCCACCGAAGCCAGCGAAAAAGCAAACCCCTCCCTGCTAAAATGCCCTTCCAAGCCCAAGATGGTCGTGGCCCCAATCTCGCTGATAAACCGTTAATTGCACATGTTTTTGCCCCTATTCTGGACTTGTTTGAGGTGTTGATTCTCGTGTTTTAGGCGGATTTCACGCTAGGTTGTGCTTGTTTGTGATATTTCAGGTCCTAGTACGTGAATGAAGGTTTGGGAGCGAGTTCGGGGTCGATTGGACGAAGATCGGGCGCGAGGCAATTCGCAAAGGAAGCCACACGGGCACACACAAAACCCACACGGCCGTGCAAGTGACCAATGTGGCCGTGTGGGATTGTGCGAGCCTTCACACGGGCATGAATAAATCCCACACGGCCGTGTAAAAGAGCAATGTGGCCTTGTGGAATTCTGCGAGGCTTCACACGGGCAGACTGGGTGAGCCACTCGGGCAACTGGGTATGCCACACGGCCGTGTGGCCTGCCCGTGAGATCGAGATTTTCTGGTTTTTATCCAATTTCGGGGCACAAGTGAGATAATCGAATTTTCAGAGCAAAAACAGAGCCCTAGAGAGAGAAAGTGCGAAGACCACATCCTAGAAGCCATCTTGGAGCTGGGTTTCATCAAATCGAGCTTGGAGATCGTCATAGGAGTGGAAATCAATATCCTAGAGCAGATTCTTCCCATTGTATTCTGTTTTCCTCTCTCTCTCTATTGGGAGTAGAACCCTTCTCTCACTTGGGTATAAAGAACCCTAGTTCCATGTGTTAGGGATTTGATTGTAATGACTTGGGATGATTATACTGTTTGGTTTTAATCGAATGATGCATGTTTTATTGAATTGATTGAAGTCTGATCAGCTTTTCTTGATTTCTGCTGCAACCTGAGATAGATAGAATCTGATTAGGTTGTTAGAGCCTCTTCATTCGGTAGTAGGAGATTGGCTATACGAGAGTTAGCCAGTTTACTGTTTTGTACGGGAATCCAATTCCAGTAGTGGAGTTTTGTGCTTATTGCTTCAGCTTTCTATCCTGGTGAAGACTAGTCGTCTGCCGGGTAGTTAGACTAAGAGGGCTTGGTCAGCTTAAGAGATTCCAAGCTACTGTCGGATCTTCCGCAGTCTAATCAACAGTAAATCAACCCATGGTAATTACAATTGAGACCTAACTAAGGAGCTAGGGGGACTCATTCCCGTGTGACTCTTATTTGCTTGAGAAAACCGTACCAATTCCTGCTTTCTTTCTGCTTTTGCTTAAAACAACAATCAGTTGACTTAGTTGGCTAGATAATAGATAATCGCGGAGTAAGCAGTAGATCTAGACCTCGGGTTGATTATAGAACTTGCCACTTTACTGCATTCCCGGACTGCGATTACACTTGGTCGCAGTTTGGTGTTGTGTTTTGGCGTGTCAAGTTTTTGGCGCCGTTGCCGGGGAACCCTCTAGGTTATTGGGGAAACGTGAAAATTTGTTACTCTAGCTTTTTCTTTATTGCATTTTATCTCTTCCACCTGTGTGCCTTCACGGGTTGCTTCTGCTGATTGTGTGCAGGTAGTGCATGACCCGTAGCCAGTCGGGAGATCTAGTACCATTAGACCAGGAGCTTGAACGAACCTGCAGGAACTTCAAGCGGGCTCTAAAGGCGCGACTGGCTGCGGAGGAGGAGCTAGCACAACTGCAGATCGCTGAAGAAGAAGAGATGGGGGATCCACAGGACCATGATGTGGTCCTTCCCGAGGAGCAGACCATGGGATCCTACTGGACCACAAGGGCCGCGGACATGAGGTAACCCATTCAACACCCTCATGTCACAGCCAACAATTTTGAGGTGAGCACCTCCGTCATTACCATGCTGTGCAGTTCAGTGGTGTTCCGTGGCAAAGAGGGGGAGTGCCCCCGATCACATCTCAGGCGATTCCACGAGCTCATCGATGGAATCAAGATCAATGGGGTCCCAGCAGATGCCATCCAGCTGAGGTACTTCCCATTCACCCTGGAGGGGTAGGCCAAGGAGTGGCTAGACACTCGACCTCCAGACTCCATCACCACGTTCGCCAACCTGGCGGACAAGTTCCTCACCCGCTACCATCCTCCATCCAAGACGGCGGACCTGCAGAAGCAAATTACCCAATTTGCTCAGGATGAGGATGAGACCATCCGGGACGCATGGGAGAGATACAACAGTCTCTTCCTGAGGTTTCCCAATCATGGCTTCAATATGCTTTCAAGGTGGGCACCTTCTATCACGCCATCTTCCCAGAAGACAAGCAGCTGATTGACTCGGTTTGTGGCGGGAACATGCTAACCAAAACACCGTCACAGGTGAATCAACTCTTTGAAGAGATGGCAGAGAACGGGTATGATTGGGGCACTGCTAGGAGGTCGAGGAGAGTACCAAGCCGAGGTGTACATTCTGTGGGAACCCATTCCTCTGATTTGGTGCAGGTGGTATCGAAGCTGGTTTCAGCTATCGATCGTTCCGGGATGATTCCAGGGACCGGACAGCAGCAGGCGATGCTCTGTCATTGGTGCGAGAGCACCCATCACACGGTGGAAGACTGCCAGGCGATGAAGGAATCGACCACACCCCAGGAGCAGGTGAACTTCATCAATAATGTTAGGCGCAATGACCCCTACAGTAACACTTACAACGAGGGGTGGCGCCAGCATCCCAACTTCTCCTGGGGTGGGGCAAATTCCAGACCACCAATCTCCCAGGGACCACCTGGCTTCCAGAGGACTCCGTACATGCCCAGACAGGGGCAATTCCAGCAGCAGCAGCAGTCTCTCTACCAGCCCATGCAGGGGCATGCGGCTCAATCACAACCGCGACCTTTCCAGCAGGCAGGTGCAGCCCCTGCCACCCTAGTGCAGAATGATCCGATGGCTGAACTGCGGGACTTGGTGGGTTCTCTCGCCAGTTCTAGTGCTCAGAAATTCAACACTATCGAGCAGTTCATGGAAAAGGCCGAGGGTAAATTCCTGGCTCTTGAAGCTGGCCAGCGGAACACACAGGCTGTCTTGCAGGATATCCAAACCCAGCTGGGGAGCGTGGCACAAGCAGTGGCACAAAGGGCTCCGGGTACTCTACCTGGTCAGACCATCCCTCATCCGCAGAACCCGAATGAGCACTGCAATGCCATCACAACCAGGAGTGGCAAGATGACTGCTGATCCACCTGTTCGGGCACAAGAGAGAGAGCCCCCTGCCTCGGCATCTCCAGCGGTTGAAGAAGAAGTAGAGAAGGAGGTTGAGGTGCCTGCGCCTAAACCGCAACCAGTAGTGAAGGAGTATATCCCTCAACTCCCCTTCCCTACTCGGTTTCACAAAGACAGGCTAGATGCAGAGTTCGGGAACTTCATGTCCATGCTTAGGAAGCTGAATGTCCAAGTACCTTTCCTGGAGGCATTTTCTCAAATGCCTAAGTATGCGAAGTTTCTGAAAGATCTTCTCTCAAAGAAGCAGAAGCTGAGCGAGCTGGCCACTGTGGAGCTCAGCGAGGAGTGCTCGGCCATTCTGCAGAACAAGCTTCCGCAGAAG